CTGACCTATTTAAGTAGTCTGGTTATTCCTACAGGAGCATCTGAAATAAAAATAGAGCCTCTTAGGATGCTCTGGATAAAACTGGTGTGCCCTGATATGGAAGTTTGTACAGGTGTTTTTTCAATATTACTAAAGTGCAAAACAAAACAAAACATGTTGTTAAGAGTAATACAGAGGACTTTAGATTTGTATTTTCTATTATAAGAACACAAAAAGGTTCATGTGGGATAAAATACATTTTGGTTTTTTTCCCATTGCAGTTTCCTATTTTTAATTACTTCTAGAGATAAATGTTTTACAGCATTTTCAAAAGACACAAAATTAAGATAATGCACAAGATCCTTCCTACCATCTACAGCCTCATCTGTTTTATTCACACATTTTATTTGCTCTTGGCAAATATAGACCTTTGGTGATCATTACTCAAGGAAGACTGGATCTTATGAAAGAATATGATTTCTATAAGCACCAGGGGAAATCACTATGGAATACTATTTTAAATGATCATCTGAGCAAAAATTATACTGATTATAGAGATGACCGCTGATGCAAACACAGTAGCATGAATCCAATGCTTAATACTAAAAAATACTTGGACTGAAAACGAACAGTTGTCTAAAAAACCTGTCAAAATCAGCGCATTACACCACAAGGTGGATAGCAGACATCACACCCACGCACGGACAAAAGCATGCAGAACTGAGCTGTTTTTTTTTTGTGACATACTGCACTGAAGACAGATACAGAGATAATTTGACTCTACTGAGTGCTGTTTAGCTTTCTGTGAACCATATCACTCTGTCTCTGTTTATCTTTCCCTCTAGCTCTACACACAGACTCACCTTACCATCTTCCAAAGAACACATAGAAAAGCCTTCACAAACATGGACAGGATCTCTCACAGATAGACAAAGAGAAATGTAAAGGATATGAGAAGAAGTGCAAAGAAAAGAAAAGGAAAGTAAAGACAGTAAAAACAAAACTGTACGATGTGTAAGACATGTTTCATTCTTCCTCCCTATCCTGTCTCTGCCATCTCTTCAACCAAAAGCTTCCATTAACACTTATTGTCTATATTGAACCCCCCCCTGCATCTCACACTTCTCTGTCCTCTGAATCAGAGAACTGAATCAGGGTAGAATTAGCCTGAAGGCAGACCTATTTAGATCAGCTATTTTGTAGTTCCTTTTTTCTGCAGTAACATTTTTGAGTGCTTTTCCCTGCAGGGACATACTCAGGGCCCTGGAGGCTCATACAGATGACATACTCTGTATTTCTATGGGAAAGAAAAGTTTCTAAAAAGGCCTATCTTTGGAAAAATGCTGCAAATAAGTTAAGGCTTGAAACCCCAGCCATAGGGCAGTTGACTAGGTGAATGTTAATAACCGGAAATATGTTCAGAAGATTATATGTTTACTGTAATCGTAGTTTCTGTTGAAATTACAACCACGTCAACAGCTATATCCACATCACATCTAAGGTGTCCAACTCGAGTCATAAGTCCAATAAAGCACCTCCTGAATACCTCTAAAACTATAGAGTTGTGTTTATAATTTACATGACAAAAAATAAATAAAATGAATTAAAATAAAAGTGGTTCAGTCTCTAAAATCTAACACCTGGCTGACATTTTCAGCATCCGAAAAAAACAACAAATTCAGGTTGTCTTCAGCCATATTATTTGTATGCTTATTTTATTCAAGGCTTGATGGTGAGAAAATGTTCAAATGACTTCCTTTAGAGCTTAAAATGGTCAACAGGTGTTATAGTGTATGTAAAGTGTAGGCTAGAACATGTAAAAATACATCACATACACGTTAGGCTTGTATATAATGTCTTACATATTGAACTATTGAAGAATTTAACAAACTAACTAGAAATCATTTAGACAAGCTTGTAGAGATTAAATGACGGACACTAGTCTCTGGTTACATGATGGCCTCTCCCTATGTATACACAGTGAAAAGGCTGTTTACATACAGCTTTATAGTTAGTTATCTTGCTCCAACTCTGGGACTCTTCCTTAGGAATCAAAAAGATATACCAACGAATAACATACACAGGGTAACCATGATAGTCGGAAAAGTGGACTATCATTTGATTTAGTCGAAGTGTTATTAAAAGCCACTTAGTACTGGCTGTAAGAGCTATGCGCTATGGAAACTATGCAGTCTGCCACAGGCTGAAAAAAAACTGCCCTGCAGACATCTGCTTCAAATTTGACCAAAAACATGAGAGAGACATGACTACTGTAACCTAGACAACATCTCTCCCATTCATTCATCATGACATGCAATGTTCTTTCATGGCATTACGACCCTTATTCCTCACAAAAAAAACATTTTCAAACAAGCAGTGTGCGCAATCTTTTGGTTTCAAAGCCAATCTCATGCAACTAACTACTGATGCCTGCCAGAAAGAGACAGACAGAGCTTTACATATAGTTCCCATTGTGTATATTAACCAAGTCAAAGTTTTTTTTGTCTCTGTTGCCATATCACATCCAGTATTGTCAAAAGGCCCACTGCAGAAACAGATTACAACCTGGTTGAAGCTTGCCAAGAAGGAAGGAGCAAAACATCTCTCCAGAAGATCTAACGTCATCTGGACAAAAACTGAAGAATGACAGGTCCCCACTCTTTGGGCGGTCGTGGACGCAAAGACAGCCAACAGTGGTTGTTGAAATCCAAACCAAATATGGGTCTGACAATCCAAGAATCTGGACTCATCCAATAAAACCGGTGAATCAGTGCGCAAAGTCTATTACCAAATCTTGACATCATTCCAGTTGCCATGGTAGGAAAGGGTTTCAAGAGCAGTGTGTTAGTTCAAGTAGAGACTGTGTTTTTCATATGATTAAGCCAATATTCTCTAAAAAAATTATTGTGATGATGGTCCAAGGCCCACTCACAACTCCCAAAAACAAGGACATGGCATAAGCAATAAAAAAAGGCCAAGTGGTAAAATCTGTGAATTTGATTGTATTCTCACAATAGCTACAAATCCAATAGGCCTACAGGTCACCCAAGAAAGCTTCCCTGCAAACAGTAATTTGTGATGACATTGTGAACACGCCCTCCTTACTATGTGTGCACATGAGTAAGAGTGAGAGAGTAGGAGAGGGTGCCCAAGTGCTCACCTCACTGAACATTCCCAGAAAACATTCATCTTGTACACATAATGGAGTGTTTTGTGAAAAGCAGCAGTTTAATGAGAACCATGAGAACATTGCCATACCGAGAGAGTGGGTGTATTCATTTTTACATGCTTGCATATTTGTGTGTTTCTGTGCCAATGTCAAAACAGGTTAAAAACATTTCAGCTCCATACAAAAAGAGCAATGCTGACAACAGATTTTCATCAGTTGGATGGTAACAACACATGGCCAGATACTTTAAAATTGGATATCTATTGGATGGCAGTCAACAAAACATGTAGACTCCATTAAACAGCAGTCATCTGCTTATCCAAGCCCTGAATAAAAACATTTTATCGGCACTGACTAGGCGGACATATAATTAAAGTAAATTTGTACTGAATTGTACTCCTTTTAGAAATAAAACTACAGTATATCAAAGCCTGTATTTGACATGATAATACTGTCCTCTTGACGTCAACAAGCTTAAATTTAACACTAATAAAGTTAAGTGTAAAATAAAATTATTAATTTCAAATACTGTTTTAGCATTCACCTGATACTGTAACAGAAACAATTTGTTTGAATTAAACTGTATCATTGACATCTGAGGTAACTACAGAGTCCATGTTTGAGTCAGTGTATCATGTAACAAGCTGCTCGCAGTAATGATCAAGTGAAAGGGTGACAAGAAACACAATCGAGTATGTGTTTTTACAGCAACAGTTTTTACCACAGAAGATTAAAAGCACAAAAGGGGACTTTGAAATCAGGTTTGGTTTCAAGCCAAAGTGCTCGGCATTGTGCAAACATTAGCTGATCGCTGGAGCTAATTCCCCACACTGCAAGCTTTACGCTACCGCTGGAGCCGGCTGTGAGTAAAATCACCACTGTGGTTAAAGGCCTCCTGAAATGTGGTTAAATAGCAATCAAGGACCACACCATGAGTCACCATCAGATAATAAGGCTTATGTGCTTGGCTAAGAAAAGCTTTGAACTGTGATTGTGGCATTTCACAGCAGGGATCCTTAAATGGAGTTTAAAGTTCTTTTCACACAGGAATGACATCAAAACAGCTTCTAGTTGGCTGCTTGAGTGGTTGCTCTGGGATGTTCCCACAAAGTATAAAGTCACCAAAAAGGGCAACTGACATCTTCTGAAAAAGCCTTTGTGTACCCTAATTAAGTTGTCTAGATGGATGCTCCCTCTCTGCATTGTCCAGATTTGCCACTGCTTATTCAATCAACGTACAGTCACCATTAACCAGCTTCTCTTTTCTATAAGGTTCATTTCTAAAGAGACTCTAGCACCTCTCATTCCATTTAGGTCCCGAGATTGCATCTACTTAAGAAAAATACATCAACCATTCAGAAAATAACCCAGTTTCGCTAGTTCTTGGCTCCTGCGACTCACAAGATAATCCTATTGTGCTGACTGTATGGCCATACAGAGAGCAGAAATCAATCAGAAGACTAAAACAGCAGCACAACAGCATCTAAAGCAAAGAGAGAAGAAGACACTGATGGAGATAAAAGAAGTGATTGAATAAGTCACAGTAGAATTTTTTTTTTTTTTTCAAAAGCATCAAGGGTGGGATAGGGAATTGTTGCTTCTGTCAAGTCCCCAATAAGCAGTCCGCCTCGCTGCTCATCGTGACCACCACATCACACTCACACCACCACTTTCTCACATTATCAGCAATAACATTTGCAACATCACACTGACAAAGAGCGTGAAAATAATCAAAAACAAAAATCATGCAGATATTGACAGTGAAGCTGTGAAATATCTGCGTGAATAAATTTGACAAATAGAATTGCACCATTGTTTTGATGCACATTTTAAGATAGATTGATCAACTCACAAGATCTCGTCGTTCTGAAATTCCAGGATGCCGTGTATGTCTTCAAAGTCCTCTCCACCTCCTCGTGCAGTTCCCTCCACTGTCTTGTATGGCACATTGACCACACCGCGAGCCCCGGACGTTCTCAGCACCTTCACCTCCATGGTGCCAACACTCTCGCTCACATGGCATACAGGCTCCTCAAAGGTAAAGATACCGGCATGGTCGTCATCAAAGATGGTAACCGTTGCTGTGGAGGGTAAACCGAGACAGGCCACTGAGTCCACATGATTAGCTGACTCGCCGTCCTCTGGCTCCTCCCCTTCTGATGACAACACCTTAACATTTGAAAGGTGAATCAAGAAGTTTTCGTCCTCTTCAAAGATGTCATCGTCAATGATCCCCACACGGATCTCCTTCATGGTCTCACCAGGCTTGAAGACCACCACGCCCTCTGTGAACTCGTAGTCCGAGCCAGCGTTGGCAGTGCCATCTTCCGTCCGGTACTCCACAGATATAGTTTTGCCCACATCACCGCCACGCCTAATCACATTCACTGCCACTGTACCACAGTTCTCAAGGCATTGGTAGGAATTTGGCTCGAAGAAGATCTTAGATATGGGGTCATTATCGCCAACATAATCACATTCACTGCCACTGTACCACAGTTCTCAAGGCATTGGTAGGAATTTGGCTCGAAGAAGATCTTAGATATGGGGTCATTATCGCCAACATCAGAGCGTACCTCGTGCATGCTAACGGCTTTTCGTGCCTGATCGGCTGCATGTTTCTTTAGGATGTTGCCAGCACCAGTCATCAGTCGGGTGGCCTGGCATCGATAGAAAGCACGGCTCTTCTGCTGCTGGCTCAGGTTCCACCTGCTTTGTCAACTTGTCTGTTTAGGTAAAAAAAAAAAACATTGAGCTTATCCGACTGAATCAGAGAGTGTCATCTAGCTTTTCTGGAAAAATATTATTTTATTGTGTGTCACATAGATGAATCTTATTTAAGAAATAATCAAAATACAGTTTAGATTAAGTCATATTGAAATGATTTGTCAACAGAGACAATTTTGAGTCTTAATTGCTTGAACAGAAGTTGTTTAAAAGACAACTGTTTTAAATCTAATGGTCTGCTTGGGATATTTTACCAAAAATCTGCACTCTTTTGAATAAACAAACAATTTTTTTTTTTTTTTAATCAAGGTGAATTCAAGAGAACCTAGGAGGCAATGCAAAAAGCACAGATATGCTTTCTTCTGATATTTGCAATACCTAATCTCCTTGTGAACTGGGTTCAAATGAAGCTAATTTCAGATTGAAAGGTCGAATCTTGAAAAAAAATCGTGAATACATTTTATCAAATGAGTCAACGCAGTGCTTATAACTGGGATTTTGAGTTGACTTTTCTTGGAAAAATCACAATATACTGAAACAGAAAACTTCAAGATTGCTATTTTCATAAAGCAGTGGTACCAATGTGGAATACAGTATACCATTTTGATATCCTGATGAGAGAAAACTTAGCATGCAACGTTTTCTTCCTAGAGAGACCGCAGCACATATTGTAATAAAGGACAGATAAGGAGCAGGTTCTCTCATCTCCTTCACTATTAGGTCAGTCTGCAAAATGGTGCCACCAGAATCTATTTCTGGATGAAAAAAAAACAAAATGAGAAAGTCGTACTAAGAGCAGTCCAATATTGGAGGTTTGAGATCCAGTTCTTTTCAGCTACAGATGTGCTGCTGCTGAGTTCTATAATAACTAACATTGTATTTTTCTACCTACAGAATAACATCAACATCAAGACATGAAAGTAAAATGTCAAATCACTAAATGTCACAGTGTACCTGTAAGGCACACTGTTTTTAACAAAAGGTTAATTAGCCCTTTTGTTTTTCCAAACAGAGATGTGGGCATAAAAAATAATAATAAGAAGATCTTAGCTGGTTGTAATGCTAAGGAGAATAAGATTTCAGCATTTTGTCTTCATGCTTCCAGCTTTCTTTTGGCTCTTTAGTATTAAACTTTGTATAAATAATAAAACGGGCTCTCAGTGAAATTAACCCTGTCCGACTGTTGTCTGTAATGTATTGTGATCTTTTTCAAATAAAAACGTCTCAAAGGATAAACACATTGGTGGATAAATAAAAGATGCTAAATTAGCATCTGATGGAGGATTCAGACACATAACATTGCATAAAGTATACTTATCATACTTTAAATTGCAGCTTCACAATGCTGTCAATCTCTTTAAACTGTACGGTATACACAAGGGGTAATTTGAGTTGTTCCACAAAGGCCGTAAGACAAGCAGAATATGAATTGTCAATGTAGAAATTGGCGAAATCTATATTATTTGTAATTTACATAATAATGTAGTGGTGCTCCATGTCCTTTGCAAGTTTCTCTTTTAGTGTAACTATTATCAGATTATTCTGAGAGGTTGGGTCACCATAATTACTGTTGTAATCAAAGCAAATAGAAAGTGCGTCATCTGCAGCTGCTTGTTTTGTATTTCCATACAACAAAACAATCCTGAGAAAGAAAAAAAACCCAGCAGGAGCAGCGGCAGTGACATTTTGTATTTTCTGTCAGTCTGTTTTATTGTTCTCTCTTTGAGGTCTTTTTGACTCACCTCCTTGTCAGGGTGTTTCTGTTTCAGCTCCTTCAGGATCTTGGCCATGTCTCTCCGGGTCTCCTCCTCATCCAGATCCTTTTCATCAAGATCCAAACCCAGCGGACCATCCAAGAAGTCAACACCGTGAGAGTTCAGCATCTTCCCATCCATCTCAATGTCCACCTTACCAAGAGAGAGAGAGAGACAAAGAGACAGAGAGAGAAGAAAGCCATACAATCAGTCCCATTGATTGAGGCTTTGAAGCGCAGTGAATAAGTTCAAGGCAACCATTGCTACTAATGCAAATGGAGAACAAAAATCCAATCCTAGTTACAGGTGCATTAATTGGTTTTGTTAAGCAAAATCAATTATTAGTTTATGGTAATTGTGTTTGGTTGACTAACCAGGTTAACAAAATGTCAGCCATCTGTTTCATTCATTAGGGGGTGGTCTTGTTTGAAAGAGAAAACCAATTTTCCTTTTAGTTTAGTTCTATTTATTAAATATCTTTTGAAATCTTCTTAGTCATTAGGGTTTCAAACCAGAGACACTTTTGAGTTGTGATTGTTTTGTTGAATTTTAGCCAGAAGTTGAAATGAAAGGTCTCTTTGTATACACGTCTACAAATAGTAATGTTTTCTTTTTAATCTCATCAGAGAAGTGAGAGAAATAATAACAAAAGTCATTTTCAAATTTCCCTGAAAGGAAGCTGACTCTTAATTAAATGTGTGGTGAATAAATGTACCCAGCATCATAATACATATCCTAATTAGATATGCGTAACGCACTGCATGCAACCTCACACAAAGCATCAGATAGCATTCAAAGGAGGAAATTAAAAAGTGTCAATACTTGACAATTTGTTGTGTTTGCTTTAACAGTTATGTGCTTCATGACATGAGTTTACCTTGGCAGAATCCTATTCATTAATACAGATAATTGTTCCAGATACACATACTCATCAACTCACTTCCGTCCGCATAGAGCACCTTGTCTTCTCCTTTCTTTTGTTTGTTCCACCACGTTTGGATGAAGACAGATTTATTTCTAATGGTTTGTTGTCTGTTCTCTAACTAATAAGCAGAGCCCCCAGCATGAATTTTACATTTTTAAGGGACATTCATTTAAGAATTTAGCTGCTGAAATGTTTTTATTTATTTAACGCTTAGATCAGTCTTGTTCCAGAAATACCAGAAACATTTCTAATGCCATCGTCATCATAACCGCATCTCCCTTGGCAACAAAACATTAACAGATGAAATGTATTGAACTGAGTTGAATTTGAATAAAATCAATTTTATCATCGTGATAGCAGTTGTGTAAGTTTTAAGTAAGAGCTTTGAATGACTATTAAAGGTGACTCAGGTTCAATTGAATATCTCTACAAACCAACAGCTTTGAATTCAGGTGAGGGACAGGAATATTGGCATTGAAAGAGTTCTGCTTTCTATTTGGATGTCAAGAAATTAAAAGCCAGAATATTTTCTATCACCCCAGAGGCTAAATTAGTGTAAAACAATAGTCAATAGGTTCAGAGATTGGGTTACATGTAAGGTAAAGTTATTTCCATAGCATTGGCAAACATTTGTATTGTTTCTTAAGCCTTTAAATAAGTCAAAGTGATTGAAAAGATCTAAGAATATGGCAAAATCAATAACAAGAAACTTTGTCAGGGTACAAGATGAGTAATTTGGGGCAAGTTGGAAAACAGTTCAATCCTTCTTTTTCAAGGGTGATCTGTAAATTGGGTAACTTTATGGTTAATCAGAGGGATACTGTGTGAAAAGCTCTTTGTTTCATTTGCAAATCAAGTTACTACCCAGGAGCTTTGATTATAATATTATTATATTCGCTATTCAATTTGTGATTGGTTAATGCACTACTACTGTTTTCATCCAGAAAAAAAATTGCAATAAACCAGAGGTTTTCTAAATTGAAAAGAAAGGCCTAAAGGATAGTTAATGTATTTACTACTCTAGCAGCTGAGGGATGCGCTGCTGTAGCCTTATAGGGGGAATTACCAATTCACCGTACTAGTGGTAACTACAGCTTACCTTGGACGGTAGGGGGCGGTCACCCTCGGTCTCAATGATCATGCCACGCTGCTTGCCTGTGCGGTAGCGCTTGTACACATACTTGTAGAACAGCAGGCGACGGTCGGCAACCCATGCGAACAGCACACAGATTGGGAAGAAGAAGAACGTGAGCAGTCCTTCCCACAACTGCACCACACCAGGTGAGATAACGGACAGGATCAGATAGAGCCAGATGTAGGCAAAGATACTCCAGCTGGCAGTGACGAAGAAGACGCGGAGGTGTTTGACCTTCCTCGTCTCGCCATCAGGTACAACGTAGACACAGAGGCCAATGATCACGAACATGTTGAATGCCGCAGAGCCAACGATGGTGGAGGGGCCGAGTGTTCCAGCATGGAAACCATGTCCTATAACTTCTATGACAGACAGCAGGATCTCTGGAGCTGAGGAGCCCAAAGCCATGAGGGTGAGATTGGAGACGGTCTCATTCCAGATTCGAACTGTGGTGGTGGTTGTTTCACCATTGGGTTTCTTAATGGTAATTTCCTTTTCTTGAGATGTGATGACCTCTATGGATGCCATGAAACGATCTGCAATGATTGACACACCAAGGAACATGTAGACCAGAGCCACAAAGTAAACTGTAGCCCTTGCTACCTTGTCACCAAACGAAGGGTTTTGGGGCTCCCAAATAGGTAACATCACTCCCCTAGCACATGCCTCGGGCTTGCTGCATTCAGTTTTATTTGTGGATACAGCAGAAACAGAGCCACTTAAGATGTGCTCAGGGGGAGCGCCAGCCAATGAGGGATGAAGCTTGATGAGGAGAATCATTGCGACAACCGCTAGCCTCAGGCCAGGGAACAGGGCGGAGGAGTGATCCCAGCGGCCCATGTTTACGTCCCGACCAGAACTGTTGGGTGACAATTAATGAAGTTGTTGAACCTTTAAAGAGAAAGAAGAAGAAGAGGAAGACATTCAGGATGTTGATCGACATGGCAAATATAAATAAGGCGACAGCACTTTTAGTTATATATTTTAAACTGTTTCTGTAAAACTGACAGGTTGCTTGAAAAACCACCTACAGAAGAAAAGACACTAAAAGGAATGTAAAGAAATTCAAATACTAACACTTCTTGAGAGCAATTTAAGTGAATTGAGGAGGATTTGCCATAAATAGTTCAGCCTCAGACTACAAAATCTTAACCCTGAGACTTCAAGTTCATCACATTCTAATGTGCATGCTTCCACGGAAACTTAAACCGAGGCTGAATTGAGTGCAAGAAAAGCGTAATTAGTTAAAAAATATATTTAAAGAAGGAAACATCTCCCTGTAGCCCAACACAATCTTAGTTTAGTTACTGCAGAGCAAGACAATTGCACGTTGTTGCAAAATTATCTCCATTTTCCAATGGCTAATTTCTAAGAAGCATTACGAAGTACTCTACAAAATGAAGCCAAGCAGATTTATTTATTAAAATGAAATAGAATCAGAAACAGAAAACGTGTAGCAATGTTTCGCTATGGGACATTACTAGTATATAAACAACATTTTAAGGATACCAGGTAGCAATTGATTTAGCTTGTACTAGCCGAACCAGATGCAGCACTGGCTCCCATTAGGATCAATAAAACTTAGAGCCATGACCTTGCAATGTGTAGGTTTAAGGTCACTATCTAGAATTGGAAACAATTCCAAAATGCAGAAGCAGCCAATGAGGGAAGGTGATGTCATATTTAAGGCCAATCTTTTAATGTGGGGTTTCAGGAATTAAAGGAAAGGGAAAATTCTCCTTTCAGCAGGGCCCCACTTACAGAATAACAAAGCATCCAGGCAGATTTTGACTGTGTTTGCCCCTGTATTCCCTCTGGAGCTGATACGCCTACAAGCAATGAAGACAGGAGATGGAGTGATGTATTTTTGTATTATTATTTTTTGAATATGCGGTATAGTCATGGTTTTATGTATGGAAAGTTAGAGATACATAGATTTTTATGACCACTTAATACATACTGCTGATATTGCTGTCCATTGATAGAAAGTGGAAGAATATTCATGAATACATTTTTGCCATTAATAGCTGGTATTCAGATTGGTTTATATATACGTCTCTAATGGCAATCCATGAACTACACCTCTAATGATCATTAGTACAGGTCATGGGGTTCTTCAAATCCATAAGGGATTATCCCCTGGAGACCATGAATGCCTTTAAAAACCTCACTCAGTGATATACAGACACTCCAACTATCCCACAAGTAATGCATAGCATTCCAAAGACTCCTCCTCAACCTGCCTGGGATGGGTAAAGTGGACTTTTGGTTTAGGTCCACTTCGAATTTGGTTACAAACAGTTTTAACAGCTCTAACACTAATACAACTAACTCTTAAGATAGTCAAAATCCATGAAGGACTGTACAGATTAACTCACTACCCTTTTTTGAAAGAACCCCCAGCATGTGTCACATTCCAGTTGGACAAGCTATACAGAGTGACATCATCAGTGTCCGTCTGGCCAAAAGGCATGATGTTGGTCCCATAGTTACTCATCCTCACATCTGTGTAGAAAGTTGACTAGGATGTTATGTTTCCTTCTATTAAAGGCACTGCTGCACAAGAAGCAATCTGTTTAATCTGGGATCATTAGGGACCATAACCTAAAACATAGATCAGCTTAGAACTCTCCACAAATCAGCTTCTTCCACATTCCTGCACGCCAACATCCATTTTGCCGATAAGTGGTATATGTAGACGTAGCACATTTACCCAACATCAGTAGCTACATTAGTACTTTCCTGCTTTTCTTCCTACCACAGTACTCAATTTAGATGAAGCTGTTAATCCCTTTACAATATGAACCACATCTCGTCTCACGTAACATGTAGCGAGGCTTGGGTACCATAGGGCCCTGATACTTAATGATATGAACATCACAGAATCTATTTCCACACGGACGTAATCATGAATGTGTGAATAGTCATTCAAATATTGTACATGCTGTACTGTAAAAACTACATTTGATAGCCGTGCCTAATGTTTTTAACGGCTACTTGCTGCATAAATCAATTTCAGAGAAATGGGTGATTAGTCCACAGATTTAAATATTTGGGTTAAATAAACGAGTGTGACGAGTGAACAAGTTTTCATCAGTGTTTGTGTGTTGCTAGTGTAAGAGCTCTTTGCTTAAATGTTAAGAGAATCAATTCAAAACAGAATTACACGTTTCCTTAATTAAACTTCCATTCAGTAAGCTCATAACAACCAAACATTTCCCTCCTGGCAAATGTGATCTAGCTGCTCTCTGCCTTCGATGGCCTTCTTGTGTGGTCACATAAGGCTTTGCGTGGCATTTCCAAGTGATCAATAATTCACTGAGCTTTGGGATTTGGCTGTTTTCACTTAAGGATGTCATTTTCCAGTAGGCTGATGGCTAAAGAGTGTGCTCTTTGTGCCAGCTGTTCTCAACAAAAACAGATTATTTTCTGTGGCCTTCCTGCATGGATGAAGCCAATGAAAATAGGAACAGTTGGCGCATTAGATATAATATTTCAGCGTAAAGAATCGGTCAAGACTTAAAAAATGAAACGTATAATCATCATGGTAATGGTGAAAAATGAAATTAGCTATCATTGGAAATAAATGATAATAATGATGCCAACGTCTAATTGTCATTACCCTCTGAGATTCCACCCTGCTCATGATATCAACACTGAACACATGTATATGAAAAGATAGAACTATTAGGAGTCAGCCAGTTGGAGACTAATACATACACAGCAGTTGGGAAAAGTGTGAAATTATACCTCAAGCTGTCAGTTCTTCAAAACAGACAGGCTATAATGAAAAGGTACATGGAAGCCGAACGTGATGTGCACATTCATTGTTTAAATTGATTGAGTCTTGTTTTTGCAAACCTCATCATAATGTATTCTATTTTTCATGTGTTTTTGCCACATTGGGAAACCTTCAATTATTTCCAAACACGTGATATGCTTCGTGACTTCATACATCTATTTACTTTGTTCCTGACATTTTGACAAGAAGGTTGATACCACTCTCATATCTCTTCATTAATATAAAGCTTCAGCAACAGGCTGTTTACCTTATGAGACACTGGCTAAAGTGGCTCTTCCTAAAGGGAAAAAAATATCTCTCAACCGGCACTCAAACTGATTTGTTGAATATTAAGATTTTTTTAAATCAGTCAGTCAACATTGTAAATCATCATGTATAACATTTAGCTCCGTTATACTGTATTTAAAACCTATGTTAATATAGGTGTCATTACAAGTGAATGTAGAACCATAGAAGTATATGATAAAGAATCTTCTCCTTGCTTAATTCAAGTAAACATTTCCTCATTTTCCTATAGTCATACCTGCTGCGGGGCCTTAGATAACACCTGAGCTGATGTTGCTCTGTATTTTGATTGTTTACCAGCTGCTAAGTAAATCCCCTGTTTCAAAACATTTTATGTTTCTACATAGGCATGTGCGATTCTTAGTTCTTACCACAATACAGGACATGGTTAAATTGCTACAGGACTCATTTAGTTGTCCGTAGACTGTGTTCTAATTTCTCTTCTTTGCTCTGTTTCTTCTCAGGGCTTGCTTAAAATTCATCCTCAGGAACACAAATCCTTGATAAACCTTGCTTACACAATCCTGATTGCTTTACACTTTATCAGGGGATTACACTTGAGATGACTTTAGATAATTACCTGTTCCATTTATAGTTCCCTTGCGTTGTACGACTGCAAAATATGCCTTGAGGGGAGTGACATGCTGCAGTGGTTCTCTCTTTCTGATCTTAGGAATTATTACCGGCTATTTGATACAATTGATGCCCTGGCTGGTATCGGATCCAAAGTCAAGGGTCTATGTTGATGTGCCTGCTGTTAACACTGGAGAGGCTTAGTAGCTTAACAGTGGCTGCTATTTTGGATATGATAATTGAAATATCAGGTTTCAGAATATCCAGCTATGGTTTTCCCAAGTGTTATGACCTCAACATCTTGGCTTAAGTTCAAGGGGAACACAAGATAAGAAACACTCCAACCCAGCTTCATGCACACACACAAACTGGACCACTTTATCCTCCTTCCCGGAGGCTACAGCAAAAGTGCAACAGAAAGTAAAGAAAACCAAAACCATGTGGTGCATGAGGCAAGCTGTTCCCTCTCTGCCCTAATACTGTCATTCCTCGGGAGCCTCTAAAGGCAGCACCCAAAGGTGCCAAGAAGGCAGCTGGTCAGACCAAAAGGCACCAGAAAAAAAGAAGGAAGACAGTGAAGCTGCACATTACATAAACCCTATTTCTGAACCTTAATAAAAAAATGAGTTATGCTAATGCTAAAAATGAGCATGCTTTGTAGAACAACCCATTGTGCTGCATGATAACAACAAAAAGCTTCATATGACTGAACTGTAGCAGTGGTGGGGATGCATTTTCCTTACCATATGGCAGGAGCCGATGATAAAAAATGTAAAATGAAGAGTGTAAGACAGACAAAGTCATGTTAAAAGACAAATAGGACAGGGAGAGGGAGGGATGCATGGAAAAAGAGCCATTTATGGGGGGTCTAGTATTTAAGACAGTATAACATGCCTAGAAGAAAAGAGAGTGAGAGACAGAGACACATGGAAAGAAAAGGTAGTCCAGGACAGGAAAGAGAGAGATTACCTCTCTTGGGGAAATATAA